TACGTACGTACGTACGTACGTAGTATATATATATATATATATATATATATATATAATATATATATATATATATATATAATAATAATAATAATAATATATATATATATATATACACAACACACACACATATATATATATATATATATATATATATATATATATATATATTGCCTGTGGATTGACTCATCTTATGCATTATTTCTGTGATGTTATGTACGTCATGCGATAGGTCTGTGACTGGCCTAATGACGTGGCAGTAGTGTGAATCGCACACAGGACCACATTTCTAACCCTTGCCAACACTACACCACACTCACCCCCGCCACACACAAGCAGACCCTAAACCCTGAATCCATAGCTGCCATTGGCCAGTGAGCCCTGCCTCTCACATGTTACCTACCATCATCTGCAGTAGTTCGGCGATGTTCTGGGTGATATTGTGGTACGCCTCTACTTCACCCTTAGACACCAGCAGCTGCAGACACGCAAGCTCACGCAAGAGCTCGTCTCTGCGCTCGCCAAAGAGATAAAGAACAAACCACAAAGCAATGGCATCGGTTTAGGAGAAAGGTGAGCACTGCATGGTATGCGATGTATATGTCTGCCAAGGCCACTTGTCTTTAGGGTTTAGGGTTTAGGGGCGGCTTTCATGGCTAATGGTGAGATGCGGATGAGTGTACTGAGACGCATCTCATTCTCAGTGTGTGCTTCGATTGGTTGTGTGTTTTGTATCTGTGTTTATGTTTATGTTTGTGTTTGTGTTTGTGTTTGTGTTTGTGTTTGTGCTTGTCTGTGTTTGTGTCTGTGTTAGGGGTTTTATAAATAGTACTCAGTTCTATGATCCATTCCCTATAGCAGGTGATATAAATAGAACTATAAATAATACATTATAAATAGTACTCAGTTCTATGATCCATTCCCTATAGCAGGTGATATAAATAGAACTATAAATAATACACAGCTGTTTGATCCATTCCTTATATGCTGTGCTATAAATAGAACTGTAAAGAGTACTCCATTCCCTATATGCTGTGCTATAAATAGAACTATAAACAGCTTTCCTCCGTAATCTTTGTTTGACATACCTTTGGCGGAAGCTGCGGAACAGTAAACCAATACTTCCCATGATCAGCACTTTGTCGTGGCACTTGCCAATCTGTAACATGAGAGTGACGAACGTAGGGCCCAACGTACCACCTGTCATCACATGGGCACAGAACATTTGAGAGGGGGGGATACGGTACACAGGTGAGTGTAGGGGACCATATACATACGCAGGATACACCTTATGTGCATAAGAAGCTGCATATAAATGGATTAGTCATATATATATATATATATATATATGCCTTATCAACACAGATTGCGGATATGGAGTTTGATATTAAGAAGATGATAATAATAAAAATGTATTACAAAAATGTATTACAAAAATATCGTTAATACACATAGACATAGGCATAGACATATACATGGGCATAGTTATAGACATAGACATAGACAAAACATAGACATAGACATAGACATATACATAGACATAGGCATAGGCATAGACATAGACATAGACATAGACATAGACATAGACATAGACATAGACATAGACATAGACATAGACATAGACATAGACATAGACATAGACATAGACATAGACATAGACATAGACATAGACATAGACATAGACATAGACATAGACATAGACATANACATAGACATACACATAGACATACACATACACATACACATACACATACACATACACATACACATACACATACACATACACATACACATACACATACACATACACATACACATACACATACACATACACATGATCATGATCGTAAACAAAGACATACATATATACCAAATATTGACTGGCAGCCCAGCTAACTTTCAGTTTGATATATTTAAAAATATTTTGTCGCTGTCATGACTCATATTTACATACTCCAGCCTGTCAGGCGTCAATTCCCGTTTCGATAAGGCAGGAAACCCTGCCAAGAAAAACACTATAAAAAAAAAGTTGTCGATTGTCGACCCAAACACACTCGCGATGTGAACAGATAAGGCGTAAATAAATACGTGCTAGTTTACGGAAGGCAACTTATTCCCTGTAGCATGCAAGATATCTACAAGCGGACATGTGGTTCATGCACGTGCATTCTACCGTGTGATCAGTTTAGTGAGAGTTTATTCAGTGAGATGGGAAACGAAGCTATCAAGTGCAAGCATTGTGTGACCAAAGATACATGGGCGCGTGTGGACATTTTAAGTGATGCAGCTAAATATCTGTCAATGTCGAAGCATCAGAAAACAAACACTACATGCTGTGCATGTACATGGAGTCTTTCGTATGCTCACTTTAGCAAGGGCCAGAGAAATAAGAAGGGCTCGGGGGAAGGCGTCCGATGTAAAGCATGTGTGGCGAAGGGTGTATGGGCCCAAGAAGATATAAAAAATTCGGATGATATGACTACCACGTGTTTTGTATGCAATCGAGATCTGCGCGAGTTTAAATTCGGCGATGTAGAGCTCGAGTTCGCAAAAAGGCGTGCGCGGTGCAAGACCTGTGTTGATGAACGTAACCAACCCGACGAGTACTGGACATCCACCCGAGGCAGGCGCAAATCGCGGGAGAAGCCGAGGACACGCATACCAGTGTTAGTGGACATGATGTGTTGTAAATTATGTTCTGCGAAGAAAGACGCAGACGCCTTCAGCCACTACGAATGACGGCAGGACGAGGGACTTGCGCGGTGCATAGTCTGCGTGCAGAACATGGTTCACGCTCAGTCCGTAGGCCAAGCTAGGGGCAGATACTCGCCGAGTGTCGGCAAGATGAAAAAACTGGATAAAAGGGAGTGCGTGGGTAGTTCGTCGGACGTTAAGCTTTGTATGTCGTATCTATCACCCGTGGCAGTGCGCGAGTCGGATATATTGTACTCTGGCGTAGGCGGGTCAGATAAGTCGCATAAGGGGATGAGTAAGTGTCTAGCCAAGTCGAGTCCACAGCAAGCGCTTTATGCAGATGATCACTTTGACTGGAAGGACAGTTCCGAAAGCGATGGCCATGCCGAATGCAGGGATAGTGTAGAGGGCATACGTAACGGTATTGGGTGCGGTACAGAAGAGTCATATACGAGTGAGAATGTGTTGGTTGACCAGCACAGTTTAAACTCTGGCGCTTGGGAGGACAGCTCTGCGAACGATAGCGGTCATAAGAGCAGATCAGGATTCGTAGTTAGAGGTTCAGGTCGGGATATCACAGATGGGCGTCTTCGTGATGAGTTTGGAGAAAATGCGGGTATATTGGATGAAGCGTCCCAACAAGATCTACGTGCAAGCGCGCTTGGAATTCCTGGTGCTAGGTCCTTTGCAGGTTTAGGTTTACGCCCTGTACAAATTGACCCGATTGTACGGAGCATTTTAGAAGAATCTGACAGTGTTTGGAATACGATTACTGCTAGTATGTTTGATGATGATTACGATAACGGATATCGGGAGGACAATCGAAAGGACGTGGGAAAACCTCCTATTCGGGTTGCCGTACAGCGTATCATGGAAGACAATGGTTTGTGTGACATGTACAGTGACGATGACGAGCTCCGGACAGAAATGTTGCACATGCTTGACTCAATGGGAGCAGGTTACAATGTTCGAAGCAATCCTGCCGACCTGCTGCCCGCTATAGGCGCCCTACGAACTGAATTACTTATTGAGGCTAATTTCAACACAGAGGGGCTTCGCAGTGCTTTGGGCCTTGCCAATCAAAAGGATATATCGAATGCAGATGATGGTGTGTTGGACCATAACACGTTGGACAGCTTTAACAATGAGAATAATTGGGAAGGACGTCGTGGTCTCTTAGGACATTCACATGCTAATTCTGAAGCTGAGGTTGAATCAAATTCTCCAAAGGCAATACCGCCTCATATATCTAGCCAGGTAGAAAGCCGTTCAGGTGCTAAAACGAATGTAGATATGCCTCTACAGGCCGGGAGTTAAGGGCGCGGTTGGCAACTCTTGGATACCCACGAGGGATAGACCAATACCTGGATGACGACAACTTTTCCGATCATATTGCTGAAGTACGCAATTCACGACAAAGTGTAGCCGGGCACGCTGACGCCCAAAGCGAGATTGCATCAAGTCCTCCAGAACCAATACTGTATCGTGCATTTGGACTAATAGATAAATTCATCACAGGAAGTGAGGCATGTGGAGCACATGAAACCAGCGCAACAGCCACAGCAGCAAGACTGCAAGCAGGCAGTAGCCAGGCTACTGGGGAGAGTTCCTCTTCTGTTAAAGCGACAGATATGGCGAGGAATGAAGACATACGCCCGGCGATGCCGTTCTGCACACAACGTCGTGCGTGCGATTCGATGTTGTCTGAAAGCAAAAATACGGCCACTGATGATAGGCACACCTTCGGCCGCGCAGCTAAAGGAGGAAGCGTTCGATCCCCTCAGGTAGCAAACAACGGGACAACCAACCGTCCCAATCGTCGGTCTGACGCCTCTATACGAGGTAGATCGTTGGCCAGAGAGTGCAGATCCTGCGGCACAACTGTCCCCGCTTCTGGCTTTCCTTTAGATGGCGATGTATGCTTGTCGTGTCGTACGAGGTCAAATCAAGAGTCACAATCAGATTCCGTTGCGAAGACAATATCAGCCCCGGTCGATAGTCCTCCACAGAGCACTACGCCGACATTCGACCCACAAGCTGGTCAGGCTGACCAAACTGACAGTGTGTGTGAGTTGTGCAGTACGCCTTCAAACAATCTGTTTATTGGCACACGTGGCACACGTACATGCATGGCTTGTATATCAGTGCGACGGTCGGGGCTGTCGTCAACTTCACGACGACCGCGCCGAACACGCCGACAACGCGCACTCACTCCCCCTCCGCAAAGAGCCCAAGCTGTGCGAAGCTTGCTACGGAGTGACTCGCAAGCTGACAGAGAGTGTGTGGTGTGTCATGTGACGCGCCCGACGAATGAATTCCGGTGTGATGAGATTATATGCTTCTCGTGTGTCTCCTACGAGGCGGGTATAACAAGGGATACAGATCCGCCGATGAGACTGTGTGAGTTGTGCAGTGAACTGCTCCCGGTATTCAGGTTCCGTGACAACGGCCATACCTGTAGAGGCTGTCTACAATCTACAGGGGATGTTGATTCTATAGTGCCTCTTCACGAACGATTTCGACGTTTAGGAATGCTTGAAGGTCAAGCCGATCCTTTTTCCAGACATCAAGGCACGGCAGAACTATGGCAAGGTACGTGGATGTTTTTCATGCAGTGAGAAAGTACATGTATGTTTACCATGCGATGAGAAGGTGCGTTTATGTTTTGGATGCAATGAGATATCTCCAGCTCATATATTTCATTTCGATGGTTCATGCTTTCTCCGTTGAGTAGTCTAACTTTGGGATATCGTGACTCAGGTTGGTATGTTCTTGTGGGTTGCGCGAATTCGTCACCTCGGTGAATATCATCTCACATTTCCCCACCCGGTGCTATTAATGTCGCGAGTGTTTCAAGAAAAAATGGGTGATGTCTTTTTATCGTCTCCAGAGATTTACAATTCTCACACCGGTGACGTCGCGGGCGCAAATTGGGTTCGCAATACGTATGGGAATCTGAGGAAGATCCCGGGAGTTCGCAATCAGATAGCAGGTGTCGACAGGGATTGTGCTGTGTGTCTGGAGACGATACAGGCATCACTGGACCATATGCCTGATGAAGGGAGTCGAAAGCTTGGCTGTGGACATTTTTTCCACGATGTATGCGTACGGAATCTCCTCATCCACGGCAGAAACACGAGTTGTCCCGTGTGCCGCTGTAAGTTTTAGACGCGGTTTTCCGTAACACATTTCTCGTCTCCCCCCCCCCCCCCCTACCTGCACTGGGGCTTGTAGTAGAGGAAGGTTAAGATATAAGTTCTCGTATCAAGCAAAAGCTTCCCACACTTCGGAGTGTGTGCTTTCTTGTACTGTAGTGGTATGTTAGCTAGCAAAGGACCAACCCCAATGAATGTACAGGGCTCAGTCTGACCTTTCAAAGTGCAGCACCAGAACGGACTCAAATATAGACTAAATTGCTCTCCGCTGGGGTGTACACACATGCACCGAAATAGGGATATATGGATGGGTGTATATTACTGCTCACTGTGTATGTGATGACACATGCCTTGCTAGTGGTATTTTAGGTATGGTATATACGTCTAAAGAGCTCCTCTTATCTGACTTGATTCTGCCAAAGTGCAGACGTCTTGATTTCTTCAAGATTGAAGCAGCAAAGCAAGCAAAGTAATCACTATATGCTGGCGCGACCTACTGGATATTCTACTGCTGCCAAACTAGACGCTGGTCAATACAATGAACATCCATCGCTAGCAACTAGTTGTCGACGCTTATGCGCGAGGCCTCATGTTTTCCTAAAACTTACCATTTACCATTAAGACTTGACAGTTTCCAAATGGAAGAAACTTGTATATAGAAAGTTAGATTACGCGGGACTGAAAAAGCATAGTTTGAGCCAAACAATAAATCGTGCAAAGATTGTGATCTGCCCCTGTTCGTTCTATTCTTTGTTCTATGGGATTGGGAAAGTGCTCCGCCTCCTGACAATAGAATTCATTTGATAGTTTCCGTGTTTTTCTCGTATTTTCGTATCGTTCAAAGTTCCTACCAGCCAGGAGGTTATCTCAGATATATGTATCCATGCAAATTGTTATCTGTTCCATAAAAAATCGTTCGACTTATCCACAAGTTGTATGTAACGAGATAGCTCTCTCCTGTATGCTGGTAATCAGTGCTCAGCTAGAGTCAGACGGCCGAATGTATCGATTGGAAGAATCTGCAGCACCTCCGATATCAAAAGAGTCTGTATAGTACTAGCGGTTAAAAACGGATGCCAGTAGGGGTTTAGAATTATAGTACTAGCGGTTAAAAACGGATGCCAGTAGGGGTTTGGAATATGTAGAAGAGTGCCGGTAGTAGCACAGGCATTATGTATGCAAGAGATGAATTTTGGAGTACATGCTCGCCACATTAAGATGCATGCACTGTACGAATGATAAGATTTATACCGATGCTTAAGATTGGCATGCGTTGGCAAATTCGGGTCAAATGTATGAAAAGAATAGTAGGAAGAGATAAATACGCTACAGATGATAAAAAAAGAAAGCATCATGCAAATAACGCACATTCCACAATAACCCACCCTCGCTGTATCTCCTTTTCTATGACTACTCTCATTACGATGTACTTGCACGGAACAGACATCAAAAGAAAAGGCTCTCACTTACACATCCCTACTTCGTGGAAATATTTACTAAGGCTTGATTTCATCTAGTAGCTCGCCGAATCTACGCATGGCTTCCTCCATGTCTTCCTTTGAGGCAGTGGAAAACGTTGCACGCACATACGGTGATGGACCACCGCCGGGTGTGAAAGCCTGTATGGTGAAGAGTGGTGGAAAATCACACATCAGGAAGTGCAACGAGTGTATAGACGAGCAGGTATGACGCATCGCATAAAACAATCAATGAATTACTTGAGAATACATTTAAAGATACATAATGGCATTCCGCACTTGAAGTACTCGAAATCATTGGAAATCATGGTCAAGCAACGGCACGCAACGGGGGACGGTGGTGACTTTGTAGAGCAAAATCAGTCGTAAACTCAGTCGTAAACTCAGTCGTAAACTCAGTCGTAAACTCAGTCGTAAACTCAGTCGTAAACTCAGTCGTAAACTCAGTCGTAAACTCAGTCGTAAACTCAGTCGTAAACTCAGCCGTAAACTCAGAATCTGCGAATATCAGATCGAACGGCAACTGTAGATGGCCCAATATATTTCTAACACCCATGGTCGTACACGTGAAAATACATTCGCTTGGTTTTCAATAGACAACGTGTTCGGTGTCACTCCCACATTTCTGATCTACTTAGACGCATTGTCCCTGGTTCAGCAAACAACACAGTTCGCCAAAGACTATATAGGCAGGCAGCCATACATACCTTCCCTGGAACCATCAGCACAAGTTTTTCCACCGCTTTCTCTTTGATTATATCTGTTGAATCCTCAACACCCAATAATTTGAACCATACAAACATGCCGGCGGCGGGAGCGTGAAACTCAGCTTTACCTGTAACAAGCGATAGGCGTTGATCCGTGTCAGAGCTAGGTACGAGCAACATGCGAAACAGTGCAGTAGACAACCAACCCTATATGTTAAATTTGTGCCGGAGTTGGGTCCAATCCTCTCTGGAGAAATTCATATCACAATGTCGTCGAGCTTGATATGTTCGGTTGCTCTTCCATACACAATTCTTACAAACCCGTGATGACACAAGGCTGGATATGGTACTGATTACAACACGCCTCAGTAGCCGTGGACATACATCTACAATGCACTCAAAAATACTCTCAACATCTGGATCGCACTTTCGCGATACATAGCAAGAGTGCACGCAAACCAACGTAACGTCGCCTTTGCTCAAAACACACCCATGCCATATTACAAGAAAGCAAACTCCACACCTGTAATGTGTTTCTTCGCCGAGGCCATGAAATCATCCCTCCGCTTCGCGTACATTGCTGTGACCTTCTGCACATGCTCTTCAAACCCATCTGGGCCCCATTTGTTCAGCAGCGCGTACACCAAGCCCTGATATATACATGATGACAAACCGTTTGATGAGAAGTGTGTGAAAAACTGGCATGTACGTCTGATATGAGTATCAAATTAGTATGATTTCCCGAATGAAACCTCTGACAGGCGTGGCATATGATTAGTCGGTTCTATTAATCAGTCAGACGTGAAAGCACTACGCCTTCATCTGAGACAAATGGGGGGATCAAGTCACATTACGCAAACTTACTCTTTCGCATATCGAACACTTATGGATATTTGGGAGCTACTGCTGCGTAACTAGGTCCTTGCAATAAGTACCTCATACCGGGCGTTGCTGTATCTTGGACACTTTCACCTCATATTCTATTGTAGGTTGTATCGTTGATTGTACTATCGGTAATTGGTAAGTCCGACCAGCTTTCTGGTATTTATACACCCTGTCTATTCGTACCAAGTCTTCCAACCCAAAACTAATCACACTCCGTACACACACACACACACACACATATATATATATATATATATCCATATCCATATACATATAGATATATATATATATATATATATATATATATATATATATATATATATATATATATATATATAAATAATATATATATATATATATATATATATATATAATATAATAATATATTCTATCGCAATAGGTGTGTACATGAACGATTGAAATATATACGAATATGTCTCACCTGTGACACACCACACGTGTGCAGAGTAGAGGATTGCTGGTGAAGCATAATTCGATGCAGAATCGGCGTAGGAGCACTCACAAATCCGATACGCAAACCAGAAGAGATCAATTTGGAAATGGAATCACACCGCAGCACTCGACCATCGCTACACATCGAAAACATCGAAGAAATTCTGCCGAGAGCGATCCAAATAGTATCGTTATTATTTAGGGAGAGATAGTATTATTATTTTTAGAGGGCGGGTGAAGGAGTTATATTGAATGTGGAATGTTAACATTGATATTGATCCTGCTAGACGACAGTGGCGACGTGAGTGGGCCACATTGTCCAACGCACCAGTTGATTACACAACTAGACGTTTGTACAAAAGCACATTTCTCCAAAAAAAAAAATGTCTTCCACTTCCAGCGGCTCATGTTTGATCGACTGAGTGTATTCCGTCTAAAGGTCAATTGATTGTACACACACGGGACACCGCCCACATAGAGCTTATATGAGAAAGCGCATGCGTAATCCGCACCACAGTATGAGCTACATAGTCTCGGACGCAAATGGCAAACACTGACAAGAATATCGCGAATACATCTGCTCACTTTCTTAAAACAGTGAGAGACGACAATTCAATACCTCTTCTCGCTGAATTGTAAGTAATAATACGGATCGTCTTCGATGATAAGTAGGTCGTGTTTAGTGGCTAGCTTCAACAAGGTGTTCCTCCTCTCTAACGATAGTGTAGCCCCGGTTGGATTGCTCCCTACATCGGTGACATGAGAGATGCTCCACATTACATACGTGTAGTACGGCTCAGAAAACACATACACCTTCCCGCTTGAACTGAAAAATAATAACTCATCGTAGTGACAAAACAATGGCTTTCACTTCGCCCTCGTCGCCACAGTTGAGGGTACGACAGGCGTGTCGCGATGGTAAGCCGAATGGGTATGAGAGCGAGTGCGCTTGAGTTTGCGCACTAACAGCCCCGGTTTAGTTCTTCGACTCCTCGCGGTGGCCACTGAAATATACGCACAGTTGATATATTTCGATACAGTCACATATATATGGCACCTCTGGCGTTGTCTGACATCTATTGGCTCTAAAGCTATGTTGGAATTCCATGAACAATCGACCCCGCAGCGACTTCAGGAGCAGGGTTTATCGAAACCGTAGCCATCCGAACAGAGACCCCGCCCCCTCACACACACACACACTTTCTCTCTTTCCCAATCAATTTGCCTGTGAGCACCTACCGGTAGGGATCGTGTACAGAACTTTAGGTTTCACGCCATCCACGCTGCAATCCCAATTGCTTAGAGTTGCGTCGAGCTCCTCTGGAATGAGTCCATCACTGTCTGTTGGTATTTTCACCTGCGGTCCGATGAGCAGGTAGAAGCAATTGCATGCAAGCTATAGTATCGCAACACAGGCAAGTAGAACAACTTTCTATTGTGGGCGGCTAGACAGACAGAACGCAAGGGTGTTCATTTCTGAATTTCAGCAAGATTGAACCGCTGCAGATACTTCAGAGAATAATTGCGCGAGTAGCGCCGTTGCACAGGTCAAATAAAATATAAAAGAATTGCCAATGACAATATTGCTTCTGCAATATAAAGTTTGTCCCATGTGCTCTGTGAGGTGCCGCTTCTAGCCATATGTGTGGTCGAAAGTCGGGTTGACGTGCACTCAAATGTTCGTACTAGAAACATTGAAGACACCTGGAAGTGTGTGATACTAACGACGATATGCGAGGTGGCATGAGGTGAACTACGTACGCGAAAGCGTGTATGTGTGCAGTATATATGATTTATGCGCAATGCCTTATATAATAAGAGTAGCTGCGGCATTATTTAACAATGATCGTAGCCTTTTAAAATAGACAAAGGCTATGAAATGGTCTGAATCTTCGGTAAATAGCGCGTGGTACTTGCACGCGCAGTATCACAGCCGGCATAAAGATCACAGCCGGCATAAAGTAGAGCTCGGATTTCACGGCATTCACAAAAATTAACATCCTAGCATCAGAGTGCCATTGTGCTTTAAACATATATATACCGTTGACCATATTCCGATATATTTACGGAGATATCCGCATGCACAGCAAATATGGGCAGTAGCTGGCTTGCCAGGGTGCGCATTTCTATCAGTAGTAGTACGCCACAATAGGGACTGTGGCCAAGCAGCACACATGCGCTAGAAAAATGACACACACATTTCAGACGTATCCTAAGCGATTTGAAATTGCAACACCACTTGCAGCCATACAAGCCAGGTGTTGGGCAGATCATACTTGAGCCTGTGTTTATTGTAATCATTTGAGCATACCAAATTGCAGCCCAGCGGCACGAGTGATGCCAATGCGCCCGAGTACGTGGGTGCCTCTACTAACAACGACGTGTTCTCGTCCAGAAACATATCGAATATTTTTGCCAGGCCATCTTGACTTCCTGTAGTTACACCCACACCCCACTGCAATATAAAAATAAGGAGAATATTAGTCTCGTCATATGCTTGCACTATGTTCAATGCGTGCATAAGACATTTACAACATTCAACAGCAAATTTAAAACACTCCGCACCACGGTGCCGTAAACCGCATGGCATGTTGCTCGTTTATATATATGCGAGGACCTCACAAGACAGCCGCAAAATCTACGTATCCTACGGTCGCAGATGTAATAGCAAGTATATCATGACTAAAAGTGATTACAATTCAATTTAACCTCCGATTCGCGCCCATTGATACTTATTGACCCTACCGAGAGTCTATATATATATATATATGAATGTATGTTTTTATGTATATATATATATATACTAGTGTCAACATGTTTGCTGATAGGTGCACTAGAGCTGTTCACACAAAAAAAAAGAAGGCACGCCAATGGATCCATCTCCGGTCACACACAGTCACATTCGAATGTGATCAAGTAACCCGTCAGGCAAACCCCCAAATGTTGTTACTGCCTATGCGTGGCTAAGAAAAAAATGTAGGCATGTCCGCATGTACAGGTACCGCACTGGTGCGCGAAGGGTGCAAACTCGCACCGAGATCGACACAGAAGCACTTACAGCGTGAGCAGTCGAGGGTGTGTGCTCCTTCTCGATGATATTGGTCCACAAATCTACCAATCTGGGCAATCCTGGCGTTGCCGAGTACTGCAGTGTTTCACTAAGGTCAGAACCTTTTAGTGTTATTTTAGTTCCGTCAACTAACTCAGCTTCGAGGGAAGTGAAAGGGAAAGAAGTCGGGTTCGGCATGCCTCCACCTGAAGATTCCAAAGCAACATTCGATCTATAGTTAAGAGAATAGAATCACGAACAAGGATCCTATATAGAGAAACGAGTCGTATACAGTAACGAGTCAAGTTTATTTTGAAATCGTTCGCCCAAATTTTGTAAACTGAAACTTGCTTAATTGCCAAAGCGATTTCAAATCGCAAGCAGCTTAACGATAATAGATGACAGAAACGTTTTCCAGCGCTATATGCACTGCGATTCAAAAGTATACCAGCTAGAGGCAGAAAGAAATTTCATTCCAATTAGATACTTTACCAGGATTTCAGATACGTAT